CTGCTGCGGCTCTGTCGCTCAAAACACGCGCCGGCACAGCCGCCGATCTGCTGCTCAAAGCTCCACTCAGGAAAGCAGTGCTAACTAGCTAAATAAATCAGCTAGTTAAGTAAATCTCTACATTCCTCTGCTAAACAAGCTTCCTGCAGGCCCTCATGTTAAAAGAAAGGATTCTGCTGAAAGGATTCTCTTTGTCCCAATGTAATCTCCTTCATCTGAATGTTAAAAGCTGCACCTGTCACAATTCACAGCACTTGACTGTTTATCTGCTAATCAGTCACTAAACACACCTATATCTCACATCTGGGGGGACCTGCTCTGATTTACTGAGCTCCCCCCCCCCCCAGGCCAACCATGGATAAATCAAAGAAAATAAAAGTTTCTGAAGAAAACCAAACGTTTAATAATACTTGGGTAGATTCATTTGCTTTTACTGCTGACAAACTTATGGGGTTTGCTGTTTAATGCATGCAGTCCTTTAGCACTGACTTTGACTCTTCAGGAAGCTGTTCTCCTATTCAAAATATATGAAAGGAGTCCTACTAGTTTATAATGTAAGATTAAAAATAACAGTTTTTAGTGACTGAACAAGAGCTGCAGCTAAATCATAATGAAGATATACATAGCATTAAGGTAAAAAATGCTATATGCAGTGTTATCTTCATTTTAGATGTCAAAAGGGCTTTGCGGCTCCCGGTGTTTTCTTTTGTGTGGGAAACGGGTCCAAATGGCTCTTTGAGTGTTAAAGGTTGCCGACCCCTGGCCTATATCAAGGGGTCATCTCAGATCAAGGCCCCACATGTGACCTGTGTTCTTCCTATTGCCACTGGTGCCCTATGGAATTCAGTGGGGTGTGGCCAACAAGATTTCTAGTTTGCTGCCACTTTTCACCACTACTGTGCATTTTGGCAAATTTTGAGTGGTGGCATGATGTGGTATCATGGGGAGGCAGTGTGGACCATGTGCTTAGCCAACATTTGGAGTTCTGAGTTATGCTGTTGTAGTCCATGCTTTTGTTTACTAAAATATTTGTTAATAGAAAGTTACTTTTACTATAATCTCAGAAAAAATGGATTCCATGTTTCTACATTTTCAATACAAACATGCAATTTATTCTAGCATAAATACATAACTTATTCTGGAACAGATAAATGCAGACACAGTTTATGTATGTTTAGTTTTTTAAAAAGTCTACAGCTCCCAGTAGTCCTGAGCCAGTTTGTTAGTCAATGAACAGGAATATTTTAAGGGCAGAAAACCTATGGTCATTCAGCCTTTCAGACCAGGCCTCCCCCTAATTTCCATTTGTTTCCTTGCAATTTCCCTATGCTCAGTACTAAGTTATGGAACCTAAAATTTGCCTTGTGCTTCAGGCAGCCCATCTTTTGGGCTATATAAAACAGAGCTGAGATTTATAACGAGCAGAAGTTGTGTCTGGTTCAGAGAAATTTCTCAAAAGAAGGACTTGGTGTTAATGAGTTTCTGGCAGAAACATCTGAAAGCTCAGGATTAATGGCTTGACCTTGTTGCCAAGATGGAACCTGGAAAGGACTGCTATTGCTTGCCCAAGTAGGAGAATGGTGTTATTGCTGACATTGTGGACGGGTAAGAAGTGCCCTCATTGCTTTCCAAGTCGCATTTGCCCGCTCTGGAAAGGGAAAAACAAAGCAAAATCAGTGCGGCTGCACTGTTACCTTGCTCTTCTAAGTAAGTGTATTTAGCTATAAATATTCCATGATTGCAGCCCCATCTCTGCAGCAGCTCTGGAATAGGGAGATGAGTATCCTATAAGAGGCAAATGTGCTGCAGCATGATGTAGTGGTTAAGAGAACAGAACTGGGACACAGGTGATCTGGGTTCTAGTCCCTGCTGATCCCTGGAGCTAAGTCTGTGACTTTGGGCCAGTCACAGACCCTCAGCCCAATTTACTTCATAGGGTTGTTGTTGTGGGGATAAGATAGAGGGCAGGAAGAGAATTATGTAACCCGCTTTGAGTTTGAGGTAAGAAAAAGGGTGTGACATTAATTAATTAATTAAATGCCGCATGGTTCTTTACCTCGTTGCATTCTCAGTTGCCACTGTCAGTGCATGCTAGAAGCTGGAGAATGAGTTGCTTCAGGGATAAGGCATTAGAAATCATCGGGGATGTTGCCCTTCTGTAAAAATAGCTAGCAGAATAGCCATGCACTATGGCTCTTAGCTCTGTACAGCAACGCTTTACAGTTTTGTCCAAACTGTGTGTGAATAGGTACACAAGCAAGATTAATAATGGAATGTTACTTGTAAGCCATGAAATAGGATGAATGATGCAAAATGAGACTATGAAGCAGCTGGAAACTACTCTAAAGCCCATTTCTGTAATGTTTAAAAATATACCAAATGGTAGTGCTCAATAGCAGGGCTAGGCAACGTATTGTCTGTCCATAGATACCAATATGCCCTTAAGATCTTTTTGTGGTGTTCACCACTCCCACTTAAAAAAAATACATTGTGTTACCAGCAGTGGTGATTCCTATGAAATAGCTACTGAAAATGGTGGATCCCAATTACATGTTTGGCTTCATATCTGACCTGTGCATTGTACTCAGTCTTTTGGGCAAGTTACTTTGCTATGCCTCCCATGAGAGCCATTTTGTGGTGCTGCCCAGGACATCTATCCCAATTGTTAAATGTGCCCACAGCTCAAGAAGTTTGCACATTTCTGCTCTGTGGTGACTTCTGTAGGAGGATGCTCAGGGTGAGTGGAAGCATTGTGGATCAGTTCTTGATTGTTGAAACAGACTCTCTAGCCAAGGAAAGCTCTCACAATGAGTTCAAACACGGTTCATCTGGAATAGCTTTTGTATGACCTATGTCAGTATTAATAAGAATTGTGCAAGAACTGAAACTGGTCTCAGGCACAGACTGCTGAGAAATTTGGAGTACTCAAGTGATTGTTTGGGCAACTGCTGCCTTTGGATGTTTTCTTAACTTCTCAGACGAACAAAGTTGAGGATTCTTTTCCGTTCTTGTTTCATCCAGCCACCAAATGACACACTAGTTTTCTAAAAACAGCCTCTGGGTAGGAGCTGTGATCCAAAAGACATTTTGCAGATGCTATTGAGTTTCACAATTTCCCTGAACCATAGTGAGTTGTTTATGAAACTCTGGGAACTGTTGGGACTCGAGTGATGGTGATCATACTGATGCTATAGTTGCAGAAATATGCATGAGAAGTCAGTCATTTCATAAGATGTTGGGAAAATGCCATTTGCTGTCCACAGATACACTCATGGTGACCTGTCATGAACTGATGGGAGGGATGGTGATGTCCTGAAAAGACCATGCAGTTGCAGGTTTGTTCCTTGGATTCCAGGGACTTCTTTGCCCCTTTGCCCTATATGGAGTGCAGTGTCTTTGGATCTAGGCGGCAGATGTAAAAGAACAGCAGTATGTGGTATCTGCAACAACATTTTACTCCATTCTGGTTTTATGCTGCTGCGCTTCTCTTTCATGTTTGTTTTATGAGCTTTCAAGTATGTGCAAAGCATCCATACTAACTTGAACTAAAGCAAACCAAACAAAAACAAAGGAAAACAAAAATCAAAGGATGAGACTATTGATCAGTAGAAAGATTTTTGAACCAGGCTATTCAGTTTATTTTCTATATCATGAATACTTGGGTTACAATACCATTATGATCTGTCCCAAGTCATAAATTAATGGCTGTTTATTCTCTCTCTCTCTCCCTGCTAGTCATCCATCTTTCCATCATCCTAAGCAAATGTAGAGGAAAGAAGAAACAGATGGGGATTTCCCACTGCTAGTGCTTTCTTGTAATGATAGTTATTTCCAACTCACAAAACACTCAGCTGTCAACTCTCATTTATTTTTGAAGTAAATCTGGATTTGGTTGCTACCGAAGTGCTGTATTTCTATTTGCACTTCTCACATCATCCTTTTTGTGTATGGAATGCTACCACCCAATCACAACTCAGTCCATGAAACATATATTATTAAAGATCTTATGTTTCATTCTTCTAGGTAAGAGGGGTTTAGGTTTTTTTGCTTTCTTTTCTTTTGGTGGCTTAAATTTATGGATTAGCGTGACGAGGAATGTGAAGAGAAAATTCATATTTAGGGTTTGTTCTCTTTTTTCAAGCTTCCTCAGTTTCAACATCCCTTCCTTCTATGGGAGAGAGGAGTGGAAAAGAGAAAGAGCCCCCCTCTACTTCAGTCCTGTGTATAAATAATGGATTTTTAATGCAGAAACCGAACCTACGAAGACATCTCTCTTTAAATAAAGCTCGTTCGCTCTTCTCAGTCACATAGCAAGTGATCACCTATTTGCTGAAAAACCTATTCCCGCCCCCTTTTACGGTTTTTTCCCCCCACCTCTCTCCCTCCCCCACCTTTCCTTGAATCTGTGCAATGGAAATTGAAGCGAGCAGACTGCCACGCTAACTGCACACACGAAGGGCAAGGAAATTCCTTTGCAATAAACAATAGCCGTCTTCCATCTCTTTGGCTGCAACTGGGCAAGGTCAGTCCCGCTGCGGCAGCAGCTGCAGAGACTCGGAGAGACCCCCGCCCCGCGCCGCCGCCTCCAGCCCCGCTACCGCGAGCGCGGAGCTCGGCAGCTGCGCGCCGGGAAGAGCGCTCGGCCCTCTGCGCCGCTGAGGGGAGCTGTCCACCGCGCCGGTGCTGAAACGAGCCGCAGCCGCCCCGCGGGGGAAGCCGTCCATCTCCGCGGCGGTGCTGAACCCGCCGACCTCGGCCGCCTAGGAGCTGTCCACCTTGCCGAGGTGCTGAAATCTGACTCCTGTCCGACATCTTTCCAGCTGCAGGAACAGCGGCGGCGGCGGCGGCGGGAGAGAAGCAACGAGGACGAAGGCGTAAGATGGAGGGAAAGGGCGCCAGTGAGAGCAGCGATCTGCCTGGCTCTTGCCCGCCGCTTTCGCGCTGATCGCTTCCATCCCACCCCGCTCCGCTGTTCGGACCCGAAGAGGTCCGCGGCAGCCATGGAAGAAGAGCTCAAATGCCCCGTATGCGGGTCGCTCTTCCGGGAGCCCATCATCCTGCCCTGCTCGCACAATGTCTGCCTGCCCTGCGCTCGCACGATCGCCGTGCAGACGCCGGAGACCGAGCAGCACCTGCCCGCCATGCTGCATCCGCGGGGCCCTGCGGCGGCACCAGGGCCCGGGGCTGCCTCCGGGCCAGCCTCCCTCGACTATGAATGCGGGCCCGGCGGGCCTGGGGGAGCCGGCGGCGGCGGCGGCGGCGGCGGCGGGAGCGGGGCGGACCACGCGGACAAGCTGAGCTTGCACAGCGAGACCGACAGCGGCTACGGCTCCTACACCCCGAGCCTTAAGTCTCCCAACGGGGTGCGGGTTCTGCCTCTGGTTCCGCCTCCTCCGGGCTCGTCGGCGGCAGCTGCGGCGGCGCCCCGAGGAGGAAGCACCAGCTCCTCGCTGACTTGCCCGCAGTGTCATCGCAGCGCCTCGCTGGACCACCGCGGCCTGCGCGGCTTCCAGCGCAACCGGCTGTTAGAAGCCATCGTGCAGCGCTACCAGCAGGGCCGCGCCGCCGTCTCGGCCGCCGCCAAGTGCCAGCTGTGCGACCGCAGCCCCCCCGAGGCGGCCGCTGTCATGTGCGAGCAGTGCGAGGTGCTCTACTGCGCGGCCTGCCAGGTCAAGTGCCACCCGTCCCGGGGGCCCTTCGCCAAGCACCGCTTGGTGCCTCCGCCCAGCCAGCAGGGCGCCCCCAGCGGAGCGGCTGGCGCAAGCGGCGGGGCGGGCAAGGCGCCCGCGGGAGCAGCTCGGAAGCCCCCCACCTGCACCGATCACGAGCTGGAGAACTACAGCATGTACTGCGTAACCTGCCGCAACCCGGTCTGCTACCAGTGCCTGGAAGAAGGCAAGCACGCCAAGCACGAGGTGAAGGCCCTAGGAGCCATGTGGAAGCAGCACAAGGTAAGCCAGGGGGAGCGCCCCATGTCTGCTGGTTTCGTCCCGCCTGCCCTGCTGGCGTTTACTCCCGGGAAAAGTAGAACGAATCATGGCCACCAGCTCAAAGTTTCCTGCCAATCAGAATGCTGGGTGCTAGAGATTAAATAAGTACCGGAAGTCAGTGAGGAAAGTACCCCTTTAACAAAATTTTAGCCCCGTTTAATTTTAGTTTCAGAAAGACTATGTTGAGCGTGCCAATACTCAGCTCTAGATTGCAGCGGTTGTGCCCAACGTTAGTGCCACTTTTATTTATTTATTTATTTCTATACCCCCCCACCCAATAGTCAAAGCTCTCTTCATTAAAAAAAAAGAAAAAGAAAGCACAGGGCACAAAAAGATAATTTTTCCATTATATAACACTTAAAAACAGTTTGGCAGCTAAAACAATTTCATTACAAACTAGACCTTTTAAAACAACTGCCATAAATATTCCATCATGGCTTAAATACTCATAAATGCCATTAAATGCCTGGGAGAAGGAATTTTTATCCTGGCACTGAAAAGATGATATAGTTGGTGCCAGGCAGGTCTGAGTGGGGAGTTCATTCCCCAGCTGAGGAGCTGCCACTGAGAAGATCCTCTCATTCATTGCCACCCCCTGAACCTCCCTTGGAGGTGATACTTGGAACAAGACTTCAGTTGTTGCTCATGTTAGTTTAGATTCAGACAATGTGATCTCAAGCCATGTATGGTTTTATATGATAAAAACACCACCTAGCATTGGGTTCAGAAGCATCCAGTCAGCAAATGCAAATGAGCCAAAATTAGTGCTGTATGCTTGGACCATTTTAATTATTTAACTGCCCAATAGCTGAGGCTTTTTGAGAGGTTAACAAAAGTTTAAAACACACAATCAACAAAATTTAATATCAAGCAACAAAACCACAGCAATTGCAACTGAATCAGTGCAGAGGCATGGCAGCTTTACAGGATAAAAATGCAACATTCAAATTAAAGTTAAAAAATTAAATGGTTAAACTGCTGGGAAACTAAAAGTTTTTCACCTGGTGCCAAAAAGAATGCAAAGTAGGCACTTGGCAGACCTCTCTGGGGAGCGCATTCCACAGGAGGTGCCACAACCAAAAAGGCTGTCCTGGTAGCTATGCATCCTATTTCCTTTGGTGGAGGGGCCCAAAGAAAGACCCCCCCCCCCCAAAGATGATCTTAGAGTCCAGGTAGGTACATATGGGATGATACGCTCCTTCAGATAACCTGGCTCCAAGACATATAAGGACTTTGAATGTTAATACTAGCACTTTGAATCGAACCCAGACTTCAGTTGGCAGCTAGTGTAGCTGGAAGAGGACTGCCATAATGTGTTCTCATGAGCCAGTCCCCATCAACAGTCTTGCTGCCCTGTTCTGGGTCAGTTGAAGTTTCCAGAGCATTTTCAAAGACAGCCCCATGTACAGCAAATTGCAGTAATCCAAACGAGAAGTTACCAGACCTTGGTCTATTGGCCTAGTTCTTAGTCTGAATTGCTAAACTTCAATGCTAAACGGAAGCTTCTGAGCAATTGTTAAGAGCAGCTCCATGTACCATGTAATTTAACCTGCAGGTTACCAACCCATGTCTAAGTGAAACCAGGCTATTCCTGTCCAGATAAGGGAGTAGCTAGGCTGGCTAGTAGAAGCAGGTAGAAATCCCTTGATGTCATTGAGGCCACCTGAGCCTCAAGTAACCAAGCTGACGCCAAGAGGATTCCCAAGCTGTGATGACCCTTAGAAATAAATGGGACTTAAATGATCCATTATTACATTAAGTCTCATTCATTCTAATGGATATGCAAGAGGCTCACCTGGAGCCTTTTGCAGTACCAGATGAAGAACATCATATTTTACAAGGCATTTTCATTTCTCTTGTTTGAAATGTTTATTATCCAGTCTTTGCACTTCTAACTGTCTTTATTTGAGTTTTATCTTTATTTAATTCTCTGTGTATCTGATTTTTAGAAAAGCTTTGATCAATAGAGTATTTTGTGAGGAAGGTACTTGCAACAATTTTCCTGTAGAAGGACTTCTGCAACCCTTTAAAAGCATGCAAGCAAATTAGTCCATGCAAAAATACAATTATCTCTGTTGACAGATGAACATTCATTGATCTGTCCATTTCTGATCATCAAGAACAACCATTAATTGCAGGATTGGAATGGAATAAATAATTTTCTGTTAAATAATTGGGATGATTTGGAGAAAGGATTAGAAATAAGTGATTGGTCCATGCACAGTATTTCCTCCTGCTCTTTTATTAATTTTTAACACTTGCAGCTCATCCAAGTATTAGACATTCAATAAAGCTTTAGAATTTGAACAACATTATTTGACTTTTACTATCTCACTAAAGGGGCACAGCTGATAGTTATCTGGGAGGTAGTGTTCTAGTATAGTATTAGAATGATTTAAGTTGGATCCAATTATATTTTCTTTAGTCTTAAGCAGAACATGATGATCTTGAAATTGATCTGAAAACCAATTAAGCCCATCCATCTTTTGCTGGGAAGCAAGGCCAACCAAGTATTTATTGATTATTCATATTGCACTTTGATGAAGTGCTTTTTATTGCTAAATTATGTATACGTTATGCATGGTACAGCAGCCCCTGGGACTGGTTTTGCTGCAGCTGGAAGGGTGCCGTTGCACTCATGTCCTGTAGGGGGGTCTGTAGGGGGGGTTGTTGGCCACACTGGACTAGAATGCTGGACTAGATGGACCCTCAGTCAGAAATGGCATGGCTCTTATGTTCTTCACCAAACTAGCATCCTGCAGATGCAGAGAAATACAACTCCCATATTCTTAACCAGTCAATGGCCATGCCACATGAGGATGATGGGAGCTGTAGTACAACTCAGCTGGAGGACACCAGGTTGGGGAAGGCTGGTCTATGTTGATAGTCTTGTCTCTCCGGGATTACAGATGGAGCTCTTTTCCAGCCCCACCAGGAGATACCAAGAATTGAGCCTGGGTTCTTTTACAAACATGTGCTATACCACTACACTCTGGCTATAAATACATTGATACAGTCACACTATTCCAATCAGAGACATCAATTTTGCAGTAACCCATTTTTTATTGCAAAATTGCAAGCAACTTGAGAATAACTGCAATATTAAGATAACACTATCTCTTACACGTGGGCAGAATTCTTCAGTACAGTGGTATCTTGGCTCACGAACTTAATCCATTCCAGGACTCTGGTCATGGTCCAAATTGGTCATGAGCCAAGTTAAATTTCCCCATAAGGTTCATTGTAAATAAGGTTAATCCGTTCTGTAACTATTTTTTTAAATCAGAAAAATGTGAAGCAAAGTGACAAAGAGCAACAAAGATCCGCGGCCATCCCGCCCCCCCCCCACCAGCACGACCGCGATCATGCCTGTCATCCCTGCACGCGCCCGTCATTCTGGCGCGCTGGGGGAGGGAGGGGGAGAGATGGGCGTGATTGTGGGCACACTGGGGGAGGGAGAGACGGTTGCGGGCGTGTGGGGGGGAGAGATGGGCGCAAATGTGGGCGCACAGGGGGGAGAGATGAGCATGATCATGCTGGGGGGGGAGATGGCTGAGATCGCGGTTGCGCTCCTGCAGGAAAGACGGGCGCAATCTCGGCCATCTCCCCCGCCCCCGCACCCAGCATGATCGCGGCATCTCCCCATTCGGGGTGGGGTGGGCAGATGGCCGCAATCGCGGTTGCCACCCAATGCGGAGTTCGCAACCTGAGTCAATTTTCTAATGAAATTTTGTTCGCGACCTGATTTGGTCGTGAACTGAGGCGTTCGTGAGCCGAGGTACCACTGTATTTCCCCTGGTATGACTCTAATTGAAATGAATAACAGAATTATCCCCTAAATTTCCATCAGATATATAGGGAGTTTGATGTTAGCACAGCAGGACTCTTTGCTTAATGTAACAACAGGAACTGATCTGGGATGAGAAAGGTTTGAGAACGCTGAGTGCAATTCATAGCAAAGGATGTTGAAAGCTAGCGCAGGGTGGTGGCTCAAAGACCCATAGGGTGAAATCAAATTTAGTCACACTTAGAGGAGGCCCACTAAAATGAGTGGGATTCTAAGACAATCACAACTAACTTAAGACCCATGGATTTCAATAAGTCTGCTCTAAGTATGATTAAGTATGGATCCTACCACAACGGGTGGATCAGGAACTTCCTGCTTCAGTCTTCACCTGACTATAATTGTTTCCAACTGATGGTCGCACTTGCAGGTGCTCTGCCTTGCTCTCCTTAAAGGATTTCTGGTGATATGGAACAAGACAGACAAGAATGGGGAGGAACATGGGAGGGTTGTCGATGGCAGATGACAATATCTGGACAGCTTGTAAAATCCCACAAATGAGGCAGGGCAATAGCACAAAAAAGGCACAATCTGGAAGCACCCTATAACTAGGCTTCCATTTTTCATTTTAGCTCACCACATTTCCAGCAGGTGCATTTACAATGAAGGAGTATGGTATTGTCCTACTTTACAGGATTGCTGTAATGTTTACTGACATAATGTATGTGAAGCTACACAGCACTATACAAATGCTGAACACTTAGTTTAGGAGGCAAGAGAGCTCATTTCACTTCCCTCTTGCTCTTTGGGCTCCAAAGAATCCAAAGAGCCCACTGGCAAACAATTATTGGGATATCATAGTGGGATAGGATGTTGCAATGACAAATGAGATCGGGCCTTGTAATGCTGTATAAATTGCAAAAATACTGATTAACATTCAGCAGGCTGCTCATAAAAACAATGATATTCTAGGATATTTGGGAGGAGCCATCAACAATTTAAATTACACCTTGAATAACAGTAGATCAAAACAATCTTTTAAAGCATTTAGCATAAAACGATAGGTCGATCAAGGCACAATTTCACATAACTTCTCTATTTTAATTGCAAAATTGAATGCCAGAAGTCTGTGTAACTTGCAAGTTTACTTTGCTTCAAGAAAGAATTGCTGTGTTTT